CCGCCATGGCGCCTAAACGCAAAAGAAAGGGGCAAACTCTTGACCCCCCTTCTGATGAAATTAATTTGAGTAATCAATTTGATTTGCTCACGGATGATGAGAATGATCCATCATCCAAGAAAAATTCTAGTAAACTTTCCCGGCTTAATGCCAAGAAGGAAAAGATTCCCCCTATTGTGATAACCACTACCGATTTCCATGCTCTTCGCATGGAACTTTTGAATTTCGTGAAAGTTAAGTTTTCACTACAAATTGGACGTCGGGGTGAATGCCGTGTATTGGCTGAAACCTTGGACGGATTTAAATGTCTTCTCAAGTATCTTACTGAGAAGAAGCACAAATTTTTTACTTCCGACACCAAAACTGAACGTGTGTTCAAGGTTGTCATGAAAGGACTGCCCAGTGGTGAATCCCTGGATCAGATCAAAGATGAACTGGCAAAATTACTTGGAGTTGTGCCACTCCAAGTAATCAAAATGAAAATGAAATCCCGTCCTGGCGATTCGCGCAACGGGATTTCTAATGATTTTTATTTAGTTCACTTCAAGTCTAGTGAACTAAACAACCTTAAGGCCTTAAAAAAAGCTAGCCTTATGCTCCATGTCCGAGTGAAGTGGGAACACTTCAGGAAGACTGGAGGAAATTTCCAAAACCTCACCCAGTGCCGTAAGTGCCAGGGATGGGGTCACGGAACTAAAAATTGCTACATGCCAGCTAAATGCATGAATTGTGGTGATTCCTCTCACGCAAAGGACGACTGTCCTGTGAAGGAAGATCCTAAGAAATTTAAATGTTCAAATTGTGGTGAAAACCACAAATCCAATTTTTGGGAATGTAAGACTCGCAAAGCGATCCTACAATCTCGTTCTAACCGTCAGGTAGGAAACGCTCCACGTTTCCGACCAGGTACAAATTCCTCTGCTGTTAACAACGGTCAGCGAGGAACAAATTCTACATTCGTACCCGTAGGTACAAATATTTCCCCTGCTTCAAATGTTTCATCTGTACCTACTCCCCTCGCTGCTAACAATGTTCAGCGAGTTAATGGAGCTACCTATGCTGCTATTGCAGCGGGTAGAAATCAAAATACTAACCAACGTTCTAATGGAAATTTTGACAATTTTGACTTAGGAAGCATTACTGCCCCCAAAATGGAATTTTTACAGAATTCATTAATTGACATGATTTCTGATATGCTTAAATCTAACTCCATGTTTGATGCTATTCAAACTGGAGTAAAATTTGCAAATAATATTGTCATGACTTTAAAATTCAGTAATGGATTTTAAAGCATTAAATATTGTAAATTGGAATGCTCGATCTCTTAAAGATAATGAAGACGAGCTATTTAACTTTTTAAGAGTTCATAACGTGCATATTGCCGTTATAACTGAAACGTTCCTTAAACCTGCCCATAAGGTTAAGAAGGACGCAAACTACTTGATTTATAGAAATGATCGTCTTGATGGACCCTGTGGTGGCGTTGCCATCATTATTCATAGACGAATCAAGCATAAAATTCTTTCTTCATTTGAAACCAAAGTTTTTGAAACTTTGGGGGTTTCTGTTGAAACAAAATTTGGACAACTTACGTTTATAGCTGCCTATTTGCCATTCCAATGCGTAGGCCAGCAAAAGAATTTTCTCAAGGGTGACCTCCAGAAACTTACCCGTCATAGGTCTAAATTCTTCATTATTGGTGATTTTAATGCAAAACACCGCTCATGGAATAATGCTCAAAGCAATTCCAATGGTAATATTCTGTTTGATGATTGTTCTGCAGGTTATTACACTATTCAATATCCAAACAGCCCAACATGCTTTTCTTCTGCAAGAAATCCCTCCACTATTGATTTGGTCTTAACTGATTCATGTCAACTTTGTAGCCAATTGGTTACCCATGCTGACTTCGGTTCTGATCACCTTCCAGTAACTTTTGAAATATCCCAAGAAATAATTTGTAATCCCAACAGCTCTACTTTCAATTACCATAGAGCTGATTGGGAGCAGTATCGAACATTTATGGAATATAACTTCGATCCAAACATTCCTTTGCAAACCAAAGATGAAATTAATTATGCTCTTGAATCTCTGACTACTTCTATAGTTGAAGCAAGAGCTGCCTCAGTACCAAAATGCGAGGTTAAATTCGATTCAATTATAATAGACGATGATCTTCAGCTCTTGATCCGTCTTAAAAATGTCCGTAGGAGACAATATCAAAGAACACGCGATCCTGCCATGAAAGTTATCTGGCGGGATTTGCAAAAACAAATTAAAAAGCGATTCTCTGCCCTGAGGAACAAAACTTTTGAAAATAATATTTCTAAATTAGACCCGAGTTCCAAACCCTTTTGGAAACTCACAAAAATTTTGAAAAAACCTCAAAAGCCTATTCCAGCGCTTAAAGAAGGTGGTAAAATTTTGATCACAAATTTGGAAAAAGCTCAGAAACTTGCTAAGCAATTCGAGAGTTCCCATAATTTCAGTTTGGGTCTTACTAGTCCTATTGAGAATCAGGTTGCTCGGGATTTTCTGAATATTTTCTCTCGGGAAAATATTTTTGATGATTCCTGGGGGACTGATTTGGACGAAGTAAGGTCTATAACTAAAAATTTTCAAAATATGAAAGCTCCAGGTGATGATGGAATTTTCTATATCCTCATCAAAAAACTCCCAGAGAGTACCTTGTCTTTCTTGGTAAAATTATTTAACAGATGTTTCCATTTGGCATACTTTCCTGATAAATGGAAAAATGCAAAAGTTGTTCCAATTTTGAAGCCGGATAAAAATCCAGCTGAAGCTTCTAGCTACCGTCCAATAAGTTTGCTTTCTTCAATAAGTAAACTTTTTGAAAAGATAATTTTGAATAGAATGATGCTTCACATCAATACGAACTCAATTTTTGCAGATGAGCAGTTTGGATTTCGCCATGGGCATTCAACTACTCATCAACTCTTAAGAGTTACCAATTTAATTCGTTCAAACAAATCTGAAGGCCACTCAACTGGAGTTGCTCTTCTAGACATAGAAAAAGCATTCGACAGTGTTTGGCATGAAGGTTTGATTGCTAAATTGAAAAAGTTTAATTTTCCACTTTATATTATGAAATTAGTTCAAAATTATTTAACTGACAGAACTCTTCAAGTAAATTATCAAAATTCCAAATCTAATCGACTACCTGTTAGGGCAGGAGTTCCTCAGGGTAGCATTCTTGGGCCTATATTGTATAACATTTTCACTTCGGACCTCCCTGATTTGCCTCAGGGTTGCCACAAATCTTTATTCGCTGATGACACAGGCATTTCCGCTAAAGGAAGAAGTCTTCGTGTTATTTGCAGCAGACTGCAGAAAAGTTTAGATATTTTCTCTTCTTATTTACAAAAATGGAAGATTTCTCCCAACGCTTCCAAAACTCAACTTATAATATTTCCACATAAGCCTAGAGCTTCGTTTTTGAAACCTAGTAGTAGTCACATAGTCACTATGAACGGAGTTCCAATTTCCTGGTCAAACCAAGTGAAATATCTTGGATTAATACTTGACCAAAAATTAACTTTTAAAGATCACATTGAGGGCATTCAAGCCAAATGTAACAAATATATAAAATGTTTGTATCCTCTTATAAACAGGAAATCCAAACTTTGCCTGACGAATAAACTTCTAATATTTAAACAAGTTTTTAGACCGGCCATGCTTTACGCTGTACCAATATGGTCTAGTTGCTGCACTACCAGGAAAAAAGCACTTCAAAGGATTCAGAACAAAATTCTGAAAATGATTTTGAAGTTGCCTCCCTGGTACAGTACAACCGAAGTACATAGAATTTCGAATGTTGAGACTTTAGCACAAATGTCCAACAAAATAATGAATAATTTCAGGCAAAAATCGTTGCAATCCTCAATTGTAACGATTAATTCCCTTTATACTTAGATAAGATTTAGTTTTAGTTTTTAGTTTTAAGATATCAATTGTTATACTGACATGCAGGTTAAAAAACCTGTTTAAAATACTGAATTGCCAAGACATGAACAATGTAAAAACACTTAGATATATATCATAACAATTAAGGCTGGTACGTTACTGCAGTAACTGGAGCACCTAGGTTAAAATGAAATGTAATTTATTTTGAATTTGGAACAAATAAAGAGTTAAAAAAAAAAAAAAAAAAAGCTTCATGTTAGTATTTCTAACCAACTCTGATAACGCAAACTTCGCGTATGAAGTAACATAAAAACACTTTGAATGTTAATTTTAAAGCGCACTGTTTGAGAAATAAATCAACAACAACAATCAACTGTTTGACGATGAATTTGACGTTCCTGAACACACGGTAACTGAAAAATGTAGTCTAATTTCCAATTTCATCAAACATAGCGTACATAGTCATTGTCCATATTGATTGAACGCAATTCCATGATAAATTGCTATACCAAACGGTTCAGAAGATAAAGAAAGCGAGAAAAAGATTAAGAAAGATTATGAAATCAGATATTGGAGCTCATTTATCTTATCGTAACTCTCAGAACAAAGAAGCGCCATTTTGCAAGCTTTCTCAGTACCTTGATGTCATATATCCTGTCACCAAACTCATCTTCGCTAACTTCAAAGAGCTCACTTTCATCAAAGTCCAATCGAAATTGAATTCCTCGTCCATTCCGTAGCAGCGTGATAGGAAAACTTAATCGAATAAAATTGTCTCGCACCTTGCTGTGGACTCCCCTCTGTACGATCTAACCCCCCCCCCACCCAGTGAATTTTCTTGTAACAACTTTCCCCCCATCAAACTCGCTTATCAAATAAGCGTGGGAACCGAAACTCAGAACTTACTCAACCGCATTGCCGATTCGACGGACACGGTGGGGTGTGTAACGACATGGAAATAAAAAAAGTAATATATTATGTTACACATGCATGCATGGCATGTTCCTCTCCATCACCCGGCAGCAAACACCAACTAATTTGCTCTTTTCTTCTCGTTCCCACGCCACCACCCGTAGCACCTCACCTGGCGAATCGGACAGCTGTCAACTGCTGAGTCGGAAGCGACGTCGCGGAGTCATCGAAAAGAAGCGCCGAGATCGGATCAACTCGTCGCTGTCGGAACTGAAACGGCTGGTCCCAAGTGCCTACGAAAAGCAGGGTTCGGCCAAGCTGGAAAAGGCCGAAATCCTACAGCTGACCGTCGATCACCTGAAGCAACTGCACTCACGAGGTAGGTTCGAATCCCCGCAATGAATATGTGATTTAGTTTCAACCGGGCGAAAAAAAAAAATCCTATTTAACAAGGAAGTTGTGACAAGATGAAATCTTAAAAGATGAGTACCTACTTACCTATACCATGGACCATCTGTTGCTTGACCGGAACACGTACTCATGTGTCATGTTCGTAAGTCAAGGACTTTTGCTTTCTACCATCTTCTTACTTACTGGAAACCTAATTAACGAAGTCAATACCGAAGGAGCCATACGGTGTTGGATACGCGACTCCTGGTCCTCTGCCTGTTCTGCAGAAGAGCATGAGGGTTGTTCCGTTCTTCCTCATATTCCTTCTATTCACTTCATCTCGTCATCGTCCAACTATCCGCTGTAGGTACATGGTGGCGATGTTTATCGGGTCACCTATATATATACCATTATGATGGGAAAAGGAACTTAATACATCCGGTATCCTTTTTCCCACGGTTATCCTGTACGGGTGTATGGGTGTGTGCGACCTTTTCTTCCCTGGCGCTGGATACGAGAGTGAGTGGGAAGAACGAAGGAAGGCAGGACACGGACCCTTGTCAACGGAATAAAAGTTTGTTTTGCTACTTACCGCTCCGCGTTGTTCATTTTGAAGTTGTTTTTTTTTGCGTCTTCTTTTCGAAACTCTTCAAGGCAAGGCAAAAATAAAATGCGACTTTGCCAATAACGGTAGCACCAGTTGGAGAAAAAAAAGTTCGACACGCTCCTCGCTCTCCGGACTGTTTGGAAGGATTGGATTATTGGGATAAGAGTTTCTATCGGGCTCTGTAAAATTTGATCCTGTAGAAAAGCTTGATTGGATCTGCCCTGCTTTTGATGATGCTATTAATGTTACTAAGTTATCGTTATGTTCGTTCTTACTTGATTGTGTCCTACTTGTTAATTTTATTAGATTTATCTGAAAAAAAAAACATTCCAAAAAAATTGATTAAAGAATCTTTACTGAAATATTCAAGTTATTTGGTATCACGGCTGAAATGTTACAGCTGTTTATGTGTGATGCAATTTCAACGTGGACAGTCTTTAGTGTTAGATATGATCATTAGTTTGAATTATATCATACTCAAACTGGATAATGAATACCGCAAAAGCGATACCAAGGCTAAATAATTATGAGAAAATAGGCGGTTTGTACATTACTTTAATTTGATCTAAGTTCTCCAAATCATCCTGGAATGCAGACCATGCGATCCGCTAGTTTCAGGGTTGTGGATTATATGCGTATCACTTAAGGTCGATTTCCAAAATATTAACATCGATTAAAAAGATGTGTCAGGATCAGAGTTGAAAAAATCATGAAAAAATCACCAGCATTCACTATGAAATGAATTTTTCATCCATAGTGAACTTTGATGAATTTCAGTGATTTTTTCAGCCCTGGTCAGGATCTCCATGATTGGGATATTGTCCTTAGCAACGAAATGTGTCCAAACAGTTTCCTTGAGTCGATGCGCATCTTTCATGATCGATTTCAAATGATATAGGTTCTCCAAATCATCTTGGAGTTCAGATCGAATGGTCAACTTGATCTACCATGACTAGAGGTTTGCGCCGCAGTCGGCACACTTTTATTGGCGCGCCACCGGTCTATGATAATCCACGTCGACCGATTTTATTTTTTCAAGTGCAGACGGCGTTTTCTGTTTCCCGTCAACTTTGGTCAGGAAATTTTGTAATTTGACTCGCAATATTCCACCGGTTACAACAATTTCAATGTGGAGCAGCCCTGTATTGATGACCCATCAAATTATTATTGAATATATTATATTGGCAATACTTCTACCTTGTGTGGTGCACTTCATATACACACCTCGAGATATCACTTTTGACGTTTCGTTTTACTACCTGTCGCCTAAGTTGCCACGTGATTTTTAGAAAAAAAAACTGGCTGTTTTAGAATAAAAAATCTGGATTTGTCTGGATGTAAGAGATGGGACCATTATCATCATCACCATAATCATCGTCATCATTATCATTGGATTTAAAGTTAACATGATTATTTGTAGCCAGAATTTCATTCATTGTCGAAAAATTGTGTATGTTAAGAGATTTCGTTCAGTTTATATTGAATTCTCCTAGGTTAGCGGATTAGCGATTCATGAGCATAATTAACCACCCATGGTTGCTACTCTATTATTGCCAGATCAGCTGCAATTACACAGAGCACAAATAGACGTTGCTTGGGACTAGCAATCATCCTCAATGTGTAAAAACTGGTGATCTGAAACTAGGCAATACCCGAACGCAGGTGAAGAAAGGAATGGGTAGAAATGTGTTGACATGACACTCGCTATGATATGAGTCGAGAACAACTCTGCACTTCCACGAGGAATCACTGGGATGTTTTTTTTTTCTCTGTTCGGGACCTAGCACCACTGCGACCAGTAATTTTATCTATTGTAGTATCTTTTTTCCCGTGTCCTTAGTTTAGCGCATGTCGTATTACTCCATCAATATTGAGAAATGATGAAGTATTCGATTTTTTAACAGTTGTCATTCTTGCATTTATCACAAGGATCCGACTCTAATTGAAATCTCCTGTTATTTATACCCTTCAGAATGTTGAAACACCCTCCAAAGGCGCGCCCCTTTGTCAGTCAAAATTGAATTCCTTAGCAACAAAATTAAAGAATGACACCGATAGTGACCATGCATCAGAACCCTAGTCTTAACCACTTCAAACTACGGAACAACGAATAGAAAATTAGGAATCACATAGATGAAGACAACTAACTCATTTTTTTCCCTTGTTTCAAGATCATCCTCGGTAGACAAGGCCGAGTCTTGTCACTATCAACAAGACATAAAAAGTAACAAGGACTAAGATGTGTTCCTTTGATTAATGAAAAATCCTGTTCCCCTAGTTTGAAGTAGTCAGGACTAGGAATGGGTGGTAGATCTTACATCCCGTGATGTACCACGAAAAGGTGATCTACCCACGTCACTGGGATGTTGGCCTAGAGGGTTGGGTTTGCAGCAGGGTTCGTTTTGGTGAACGTTAAACTGAATTGATGTCTTAACGCGAAGGAGCTTGGGATTGAATCCACGGTCTTCTGTTCAGTAAGCAAAAACGATTTCCATTAGGCAAACGAGCTCCTTTCTTATCATCGAGTTGCTGTTATTACCATCTAGTCATAATAACAAATAAAACGATTCACGAATGTTGAATGTAGTGGCGCCGGTGGTGTAGTGGTAAGCGTGATTACCTTTCACTCCAGCAGGCCTGGGTTCAATCCCAGTCGACGCCGCCGGGATGTTCTGAGGCATAACATCTCTGATCGGAAGGGAAGTAAAAGCCGTTGGTCCCCGGTTCATGAGTTGATGGGTCGATAGGTAGGGTCCAGGTGTGGGAGCTGCCCTGGCGTCGTCGGTAGCATTGGTGCTCAGCAGGGAAAACAAGATCGACGGAAAACAAATCAAGGCAAAACAACAAGAATGTTGAATGTGAATGGCCTGAGATTAGACAATTCTAGATAAAGCTGGAATTAGGGTGTAACAGCTTTTGTAAACTATGACTTCTCTCGATGATTTCTCGAAAGTCATGGTTCTTCCTGGAAAATCAACATCACCATTGAAAAAATTTGAAAAATAATTTGCATTCATTTCATACAATCATTTACATTCATTTGCCTATAACTTTTTTCATCAACAGCATTCCACAAAATGATGTATGGAGCTTTTGTAGGTTTTATTAACTACAACTTTTGCTCATAACTCAAATCTGTATCTCTTATGCATCACGAACTAGAGTGGGCAGAACTTGTTACTGTTTTTCAATGAAAGTAAAATACATTCATTGAAAAACAACAGTGGCTTTTGTTCGCTCTGGTTCGTCATGCATAAGAGATACGGATTTGACTTGCTAACAAAAGTTGTAGTTAATAACAAAACCTACAAAAGCTTTATACATCATTTAGCGGAATGCTGTTGAAGAAAAAAGTTAGAGGCAGAGGAATGTAATTGAATGCACGAAATGAAAACAAATGATTTTCCATGCCTGCCCCCTACGCGATGGATATGTTAGTTTGTGTAAGCATGCCTTGAATTCCTAGAAATCAACGAAAGAAATCATTGTTTACAAAGGCTGTTACGCTCTAATTCCAGCTCTATCTAGAATTTATATTCTGCTCAGTAAGCAAAAACGGTCGCTCTAAGGCCAACAAACCCATCATATCACATCATATCGTAACACGAGTTGTTGTAACCCGGCACCGATAAACAAGTGATTAGACCATAATTCTTTTTAATATGAAAGGACCTGGGACCGCGTTTTCTGCTCAGTAAGTAGGCCACTGCAACCGACGATCAAATCCGAAAACTAAATGCTACGAAAAAGCAATTAGGACTTCATTAAGTTCCTCTTTCACGCGACGTTCAATGTTTCGATTTGCTCTTTATGCATTGTTCAGGCTATCGTGTCTCTTACATCATAACATACTATGACCAACGTGACGCTTGTTTAAGCCCTGATTAAACAAGCTATTCAAATGGAATTACATTCTCGAAAGCAGTCAATAATTTATCCCAAACGCGATTGAGGTTCTCCCGGCAGGAAACAAACGGATTGTTTTGAACTGGAACAAGCAACCAACACAACCTTAAACTAATTTTGGAACATTTCGGAAAGTAAAAGATATACACAACCACATAAAAAAACATAAACAGTAAACATGGCACACTTCCTAATTCAAAACCAACCACCATAAAACCTCCATCGAACTCTTTGAATCACAACAGATAATAAACATAGCATACATAGGATTTTATAAAATACCATTGCTACTTGCCTCTTCATTGAAAAATATCAGCAACAACCACTTTTATCTTGCACTATAGTAGATAGGCTTTCCCAAGCAGCACACTTCCATCTAAATAAGTTGCTTCAACATGATTGTGACTGGAATAAGTTGCACACAAGTAACCACAATTGTTCAGTGACAAGTGTGCTGCTAGGATTGAGTAATTTAC